TATAATATATTCTCCCCTGTCCTTTGAGAAACAATGTAATATTTTAATTTTCTTGTAGGCTCGTCAGTTGATTCTGCAGAATGGCTTAACCTTAAGTGACCTGGATAGACACCCCGAGGTAAGAGTGTAGGCATACTTTCTGTACAAGCAGTCTAGGATAATGCATTGAAGGATTAAGTGAATTAGGGCCTTTTTGCCTTTGTATATTTCTGTGGATTCCCATGCTCAAATGGTATTTTTTTTGCCTTTCATCCCATGCAATTTATGGCATGTGTGAATCACGTGTGTACTGGATGCTTGAACTGCAGTAATCTGGGAGGAAGAGTATAACTGTAGTAGCTCCTTTACATCTTACACTCCTAATCGTTGGTTCCTGTATACATGTACATCGATGTCAATCGTTTTATTACTCAGAATTTAATGCCTCCGAGCCTAGTGAGTGAACTGTATTCATGTGAAAACATTGTCTTATCGTTAACATTGAGCGATACAGGAGTCATTTCAATTATGGGTTGTGTATCTGCAAACCTGTTCTAAATAATACCGTTATTTCATCTCTCCCACAGTGTGAGCTTTGGCAACAATGATTCTCTAGTTTCTCATGATGAGCCATTGTATAGTTTAAAGGAGAAAAGGGTGAGGAAATGAATGTGGCAGGAAATTCAGTTACACCAGGAAGCTTAGTTCCTTAAATATAACATAACAAATCTTCATACATTTTCAACTGAAGTGAAAAGAGTCCAGGACATACAAGAAGGAAATTGTAGGGATGGCTGTTGCTTTAGGGCAGCCTTCCCCAGACTTGTGCTTTCAGATGCGTTGGATTACAACTCCCATCATGCTGGCTGGGGGCTCTTGTACTTTGACACACATGGAAGGCAAGTTGGGACAGGAATAGTTCCAATCTGTTCAGGCAAAAACTAGAGATACAGTGGTGCCTTGCTTAACGAGCACCCCGTTTAACAAAGAATCCGCATAGCGATTTGTTTTTTGCGATCGCAAAAGCGATCACATTGCGATCTTTTTAATGGCAAAAAATCGCTTTGTGATGATTGGTAAGCTGTTTCGCTTACCGATTTTCGCATAGCGATGTTTTTAAAACAGCTGATCGGTGGTTCCAAAATGGCTGCCGGGGAAAAAACGGCCGCCTGCAGTGTTTTTGCACCCATTCCTTGCATACCGGGCAGTGAAAATGGCAGCCGTATGGAGGATTTTTGCATAACGGTGGGATTTAAGCCCATAGGAACGCAGTAAACGGGGTTTAATGCATTCCTATGGGCTTTTTCTTTTCGCATAGCGACGAATCCGGATAGCGATGATTTTTCCGGAACGGATTATCGTCGCTATGCGGGGCATCACTGTATTACATTACCTATTGCTTCTCACCAGGGGGAGATCTAATCAGGGAGGAGGTTATGTTATTGGAGGGGAGGGACCACAGCAAGATGTTGACTGTGCTGAAAAAGTCTCCCAGTTCAGAAAGCCTCGGCAGTAGAGATGGGCACGAACCAAACCATGAACCAGAAAAACTGAGGAATCAGGCTGAGTCATGGTTCAGTTCATGACCCAGTTCGGGGATACTGTTTTACCAAAGCAAAACGAAGTGCTGAACTTTTTTCCCCTCTGCGCTTCGTTTTGCTTTGGAAAAACAGATGCCCGCTCATTTCCTTCCCACTGTCCCGTCACCCTAGTCAGAGTCAGCAGGCTGGCTTCGATTCCGGGAAAGGGCCCACTGCTTCTGTGCATGCACCTGCCACTCAGCTGATAGGCGAGCACATGCTCAGAGGCAGCGGGTCCTTCCCTAGAAGGGAAGATGGCCTCCTGTCTCTGATTATGGCAGGGGAAGTGGGAAGCGGGCAGTCAAGCAGTCTCCCTCGGCCCAACCTTTAAAAAGTTAACCACAAACTGGTTCGTTTTTCAAGGGGGTTCATAGTGGTTCGTAGGTCGGCACAAACCATCACAAACCACCAGTTTTCCGGTTTGTGCCCATCTCTACTCAGCAGCCTTGGTGACAGTCTTCCTTAGCTGAAGGCAGTCCCGTGGAACGCTATGTCAGTAAGTGAAAACACAGTCATCCAGATGAGGGTGAACAGATTAAAACTTAGTTCAGCCAAGACAGATGTGCTTTTGATTTGTCAAAAGGCAGATCAAGGAATAGGGCTTCAGCCTGTGTTGGGTGGGGTTACTCTCTTTGAAGGCTTGGGATCCCTATTTCAGTATAGTTCTGGATTCCAACCCTGAATTTGGATGCTCGGGTTTTGTTCGTGGCTATGAGGATGTTTGAATAGTCAAGACTAGTGAGCCAGTTGTGTTTGGTTCTGGAAACATCAATGATACATGCCTTAGTTATAACTCAGTTGGTTTTTCATCACATGTCCTATGTTGGGCTGTTTTTGAAAAAATGAATAGTTCAGTTGATCCAGAGTCTGGGTGCTATATACAAGTTAACAGGGAATGTGTGACTCCTTGTTATAACAGCTTCTCTGGCTAGCAGCCTGCATTTGGGCACAATTCAAAGTGCTCAGTGTGACCTTTACAGTCACATGTGACTTCTTCCAGCAGAATCACAGGCACATTCTTTGAAATACATTCTTTTATGCAAACCAGCCAAAATTAATTATCTATGAGAGGTTCCTCTTCTCAGCCCAATTTCTTATGTGGAAGTGGGCGTTTTTGTGTGCCATTGCCATGCAAAATGTATCTAAATCAGGAAAAGTGGAGAAGGAAATGTGTGGGGCATCAGTGTGCTATAAGCAGTACAAAGAAAATATCCCCTGTGGCAGTGGTCCCCAACTTTTTTGGGATCGCGGACCGGTTGGGGGGTGCAGGCTCTGTGTGCGGGGGGCGGGGGCACCCCGGGTGTGTCGCACTTGCAGCTGGGTGTGTTGTGCTCTTGGAGGGGCGTGTCACACTCACACGCATGCGCACAGATGCAACATGTCCCTCCGTGAGTGCGACACGCCCACTGTGCGGGGGGGTGGAGATCCATCTCCATGGCCCAGTGACGCAACATGTCCCTCCGTGAGTGTGACACGCCCACTGTGCAGGGGGGTGGTGGAGATCCATCTCCATGGCCCAGTTCTAGGAAGCCCACAAATCGGCACCATCCTGCCCTATGGAACAGAAAAAGGGGGAATTGCATTCTGTGGGGTGGGACTCTGCCCCTTCTAAGTAGAGAGAATTTGTCAAAATCAGTTTCCCTCTCATCTTTTTTCTTCTTGAACTGTTTTCTTGACATGAAATGGAGAGAGAGAGAAGAGCAGAAATTTGTCTTGAGGTGGTTGAGGTAGTCCTTGTTTGGAAAACTCAGTGGCTATGTGAGAGAAACTCATGGAAATAATGATATCCAGGACCTGCAGGAAATTACTACTTTGCTTTCCTTTAGAGATCCAACTGTGTTTGAAATATTAATAGCTTTTCCTACCAATTCTTTGTTATCTCATAACTATTTGCATGCCTCGAATCAGCACTCCTCAGATGAAGGATAGGGAGAAACATTTGATGTGAAATATTCTGGAAATTGTTGGAAGATATGGCCATCAGTAATTCCACATATCTTTAATATATAAAGATGTTATATATTACTATTTTAAATATAGATATTTTAATTATAAATTCATTTGTAAGCCAATTTTAGCTAAGAGCAAAGTATAAATATCATATTAGGTAACCAGTTTGTGCCTATTTGCTGCAGCCCTGGCTATTGACTTACTTGCTTGGGATTAAGTGCTTGGCCTTCTGATGACCTGGAGGTGAGCTGCTCTACTTCCGAATGCCTCCATCTCCAGGAGTGCTTAACCCCTTGTGCTCGGGCTGTAGCTCAGGCTCAGTTGTTTGCCTTGGTGTTGGTATCATTTAAGCAACGTGGTAGTGTTCCCTCAAACGTAGATTGCCCGTACAGTATAGAGTGAGTGAGATTAGATTTCTTAGAGCACTATTGAGGTGGGAAGATTACTGGGAGACTTGCTCTGAATGCCCACTCTGTGGCAGAATTACTGCCAGTCAATGGCCTGTTGTGAGTCCCCTGTATTTGGATTCTTAGCTCTTCTCAAGGACGCTGCTGTTAAGCTCAGAGGCTTTAGAAGGAGGCAGCAGGAGTCTTCCTTCGTGAAGTGGATCTTTTCTGTTTAACTTGATCAGATGTAAAAGCTGTGTGGGTACCAACTGGGCAGAGGAAATGTTTTGTTTTGTGTTTTATTTTGCCTCTGCAGAATTCTCACTCCACACGTTTCCTGCTAAACCTTTAGCAGTTGTTCAGCCACTTCACCTTCCCTGGGACAGTAATTCCCAAACGCTGTCCTGTCGAAGACGGCTTGTCTGCCACAAGGAATTAAAGGCTCCTTTCAGCTCAAAGTGCGCACTAGCAGAGGAGATGGTTTCCTCTGTGTCTGCATAAGTTACAGTATTGATCTTGTCTTGCTTTATGGCAACTAGGGATATGAATTCATGGTTTCATTTATCTGTGGCCTTAAGATATTAAATGGAAAAACATGAAAGTACGTATTTTCTATACTACCAGAATTGGCCACCAGAGGGCACCAGATACTATGTTTTATATATATACCCTACCTACAGTATATAGTGTGTGTTCTGTACTGTCAACTCGAAGTCAACCTATAGTGATCCTACTAGGGCTTTTAAGGTGAGTGAGAGACCATGTTTCCCCGAAAATAAGACAGGGTCTTATATTAATTTTTGCTTCAAAAAACACATTAGGGATTATTTTCAGGGGGTCTTTTATTTTTTTCATGTACAACAATCTACATTTATTCAAATACAAGCATGTCAACTTCTGGTTGCTGCACAATGCTGCACAATGGTGGAGGGTGGGGTTTCACTTAACGGGGGCTTATTTTTTTGTGTAGGGCTTATTTTGGGGGGAAACGGTATTTAAGGAGTGGTTTTTACCAGTTCCACTCTCCCAGTGAACTTCCATGGCCAAGTGGGGATTCAAACCTTGTTGCCCAGAGTCCTAGTTTATACTGTATCCACTGCACCACACTGGGAATCCCATGTTATGATATATATACATAGTTCCCTATTATCCACAATTTCTGGTATCCATGGTAAGTCTTGGAATGTATCGCCTGCAGATACAGCAGTCCTATTGTATCTGCTAGGCTGTTGACTGGGAACACCCTTAGGAATGTAGTTTGCTAAAGTTGTGCTAAAGGTGAAACAGCTTCATTGATAGCTGTCCATCTCCAAACACAACTCAAAAACATACCATTGCTTATGTTTGAAGTCTGTTATGGCTTATGGCACAAGTATCTGAGAGATGGTGTTTCTCTACAAAAGCACAAATATCAGCCTGTGCATCAAAATGGTTGTCTGAGGTCCTTCGGTAGCTACCCTAGCTGTATGAAGCTATGCCTGGAGAAAGTTCAGAGACCTGTGATACCCTGACTATGGGATTGCTATCCCCAGATGTTGACCTGTTGCCAACTCTTTTTAGCATCAGGTGAAAATCTTTTTTCGTGGGAGTTTCAAGGATCAACAGAATTGTTTTATCCAGCTTTTTCATATTTTTATTTATTTTTATTTATTTCATTTTTACCCCGCCTATTTAGATTTGGGAATCTACTCTGGGGGGCTTACAGAATATAAGGATAAAAACAGCATTAAAATAACTTTGATCATAAGAGCGAAAGGTCAATAAAGAATACAGGATCCAAGATGGGATAAAGAAGCTGTGTAATGGGAGGGGGGAAGGCCTGCCGGAAGAACCAAGTCTTCAACTTGTTTTTAAAAATTCCCAGTGAGGGTGCCAGTTGAATCTCCAGGGGTAAGATGTTCCAAATATGAGGAGCCACCGCCGAGAAGGCCCTGTTTCTTGTTCTCTCCTTCTGGGCCTCTCTCAGAGTTAAGCCCCTCAACTTTCTGGTCTGGCTTGATCGAGTGACAAGAGTAGAGCTAGGACGGGACAGGCGCTCTGCTAGGTATCGAGGCCCTAAATTGTTTAGGGCTCGCTCTGCTGGGTATCGAGGCCCTAACTGTTTAGGGCTTTATATGTAAGCATTAATATTCATACTGTTGTCTAGTATGCTGCTGCTGTTTGTACTGCACTTAGTGTTTTTAGTACTTCTGTAACTTTCGAGATAACAGTACACTGCTGAAAGTGCAGGGTATAAGTACAGTACACATCCTCTTTCTTTTGTGTAGTTGAATGTTGCCATTGATGGTGCTGATGAAGTTGACATGGACCTCAATCTTATCAAAGGAGGAGGGTAAGAGACACCATCTAATTCTCTACCATTGTAATTCTAATCAAGTATTGAGAATAAGATGAAAAGACTGGATAAATTGACAACACCGATATTCAGTAATACAACAATGGGCAACTCCCCCAAGTCTGGTAATTTTTCATGTCATTCTCCGGATCTTAGAGGGTTTCTCCCTATTGCTCCAAGTTCGTTTATTTTTAAATATACAGTGGTGCCTCGCTTAACGAGCGCACCGTAGAACGACGAAATCGCATAGTGATGAGGTATTTGCGATCGCATGCCGATGGCCCCTATGGGCAAAACTCGCATTGCGAAGATCAGTAAGCGTTTCACTTACCGATCTTCGCAAAGCGATGCCCGCGGATCAGCTGTTCGGTGGCTCCAAAATGGCCGCCAGAAGCTCCAAAATGGCCACACGCAGCGTTTTCGCGCCCAGCCCTCACTTACCAAGGACGCGAAAATGGCTGCCGGACCCTGGAAACATCGCTGAACTGTGAGTTTTTTGCCCATTTGGAACGCATTAAACGATGTTTAATGCGTTCCAGTGGGCTTCCCTGTTCCGTACAGCGATGTTTTCACATAGCGAGGGTTAATCCGGAATGGATTAACCTCGCTATGCGAGGCACCACTGTAAATTGGAAGATACTATTTGATGAAAGGTCTAAATGAACCTTCCTTCCCATTAATGCTTATTTTCTCTAATAAATTATTCCTCTTTAAGGAACAGAACTTGATTGTGGCAAAAGCTTAGCATAAAGATATTCACTAAATAGGCACACAACCAGAATTGTTTCTTTCATATGCAGCTAAAATTAGCAAGTTAGCTAACAGAAAAATTATCTTTGCTGTTTCTTGTTTCAACTGACTGTTCCATAGAAACCATAATATTAGTATAAGATCTTAACTACTTCCTTCTGTTCTTGTGCTGTGAAATTTTCCTTTTGTTAGGGAAAGCACTAAATTTAAATTAGACAGATACAATGCTTTTACTTTATCTTACCTTTAGATGTCTGAAGAAGTGGATTGTTCATAAAAGGTTGTATGAGAGAAAATGTATAAAGTGCCACAAGAGTCTTTGGTTTTGCTGCATCTAACACCTCTTCCTTTGAAATCTTTATGCATGCCTCCAGCTTTGAGTCCAAAATAAAGTAGCCTCCCTGAATCAGTGGGAACTTTGTAAATCCCATTGATTCAGTAGTAGAGATGGGGGTATTCATGTACGAATATGAATACCCCCACACAGATGGCAATAACGAGGGTCTGGCCCCATGGGGCTGGACGGTCCACTCACCTAATGCCGCCAGATGTGCTAATGCTGCCGGGCCCGTGCTGCTGTCCCATCGCTCCAGAGATCATGATTGCCGAACCACTCCTGGCAGGAGGCAGGACAACAAGCCTCTCTGCCAGGTTGAAGAGTGGCTCAGCGATCACGATCTCCAGAGTGATAGGAAGGCAGCGTGGACCCCACAGGATTAGCGCATCGGTGAGTGGACCGTCTGGCCCCATGGAGCCGGATCTTCCTTATCTCCACCTGTGTGTATAGGAATACCCCCATCTTTATTCAGTTCTAGTTGGAATTAACAGATGGATTTAAGCCTTCATTGATAAGTGAGTGAGAGGAGATTTGTTCTTGCAGTGATGACTTAATATTTAAAATGTGTTTGTTTTGAGATTGCAGTGGTTCTGTTGTGTCCCTATAATTGCTACTGAAGAAAACAAATGAAAGATGGGTCACTGTATTTTCTGTTTATTCAGATTGTAAAGTACTGGTAGTCTCAGTAAGTTGTCTCTATTGTCGTTTTGTTTCATACAAAGATGTTTTCAAATTTGAATTTGAGTGATAAAGTGTAGTTTACATATGACTACTTCTAGTTCTTTTAAAAAAATGAACATGTTCTTCCCATTTGTAGGCTTCATGCAGCCTGTAGCAGGGAGAATTTTGTTCCCAGGCCCACCACAATTAGCCACCCAAGTTCAAAGAATGTGTACGTGGATGTGCAAAGCTGCCTTATCCTGAGTACACCTAATTCAATTATTTTGGACTTGGCATAGCTCTCTAGAATCTCAGGCAGAGGTCCAACAACGTCAGGTCTGATTTAAGCTTGTGGGTCTCTGTGTATATTGGATCTGTGTTACCTGTGTGTTATTTTTATTCATTTCGTACAGTTCTTAAACTAACGTAGTAGGAAGAAAGCAGCCCTTTTTTCCAAACCAAAAATGCTCAAACATTTCTCCCTCTTTCATTCTGATAATTGCAAAAATAAAATATTATGGTGGGGGTCCTATTCAGTAAACTTATTTGCACAGTGGACCCCTGTGTGAATGATTTTACTTTTTTCTTGCTCATGCACAGAAATACCCAGGGCCTCCTATCATGAAGAGAAGTTATGCTATTGCAGTAGCTGTTTATGCTTGCACAATGAGGAATCCAGGAATCCAGCATTACTAGGTTCTAGTGGAGCGTTCTGCTCTGCCAATATTCTATTGGATTCTGGCTCAGATCAGGACCTCCAATCATGAAGAGTAGCTGTTTATGCTTGCACAATGAGGAATCTAGCGTTACTAGGCTCTAGTAGAGCGTTCTGCTCTGCCAATATTCTATAGGATTCTGGCTCAGATTTTTTTAATGCTAAAAATGCCTGAATTATTCGTTATTTAATGAATGGTCAGTTATTTTAAAATAATTTGAACAGTTGTTTGTTTTTCAACTACTGTTAAGTGGAGACTAATGTAATATATTGGCACTTTTTTAAGTGGTAAGAGATTGCTATTTAGAAAACACATTTGTGAAAATACTTTTGTACAAGTTACTATTTTTTTCTTTAATGTAGGAATAGATTTGTAGAAATTAGGATATGTAACAGAAAAATATTATGCTGCTGCTCCTCAAAGATACTGGTTGCAGTCTTTTGCATAGTTTGCTTAAATCTCATTGAATTCAAAGAATTTGCGCACCTTGTTAATGCAGGATTGTGGCCACATTTTCTTAGAGCATTTATAGAACTGTAGATGTTCCTTTGGTCTGTTACAATAAACCACTCTGTTTTGTCTGGTGACACCATGCTTTACTGTAAGTGCCTGTTCAAATCTTTCCTAGCAGCATAAAATAGTTGGTATTTTTATCCAGGAGCTGACAGACGTTCTCCCTTCTTTTTGACTGCCATTGGACGAATGCAGTTGGATTAAATGTCCATTTGTTTTTAGAGCAAAGGCAACAAAAATAGCCATTGGATTGAGGTTGTTGAGCATCAAGCCTGCTGATCGGTCCGTAACTGGGCATATGTTCTGATCTCTTTTATCTCCAGGGGCTGCTTGACACAGGAGAAGATAGTTGCTGGTTATGCAAAAAGCTTCATCGTTATTGCTGATTACAGGTAGAATGTGGTGATGGCTATTCTTCCAGAAGGTGAAGAAAAATGACCCTAGCCATAATTTAGTTGGCTCCTGTGTCGTGATACTTTGTGTACTGTAAATATAGACTGATATCACTTCTAGGATGCATGTGTTTTTGTTCATGTGCGTGTGTGTGCACATGTACACCCACCCACCAAACAGCCATCAAATTTAGTAACAAACCACAAAAGGCCCTTTAAAATAAACAGAAGATTGCTTTTCCCCCTGTGACTTCTTGCCAATGTTTGGTAGCCTGTATGCAGCTTCTGGAGGCAGGAGTGATGATGGCCCCTGGTTCTGCTATAGTTGCCCATTCTGAGGTAGGTTATGTGTCTGGGTTTTTCATTATGATGTCCAACAATTGGTTGTTGCAGAAACCTCTCCCTCACCAGAATGCTACTTAGAGGCCATTTCCCTTTGAAGATACCTGGAGTCTTGTCCCAGTCATGGGTGCCCATAGTAAGAAAGATGTAGTCAGATAGGAGTGAATACAGCAGAAGATGGCCAAACTGGTCAAAGCCAGGGTTGATTTTTACATATAAGTTTCTCTTCACTTCATGTGTTTCCTGAATGGCTCAAAACATCTGATGAAACCATGTTAATATGCAACTAGAGAAAGGATTTATACTGTGGTTGCAATCTGATAACCAGGCTTTGCATCTTTGTCCTATTGCATGCATATACTTTTCCTTTCTTAAACTGTAGAGCAGAGGGAAGCAGTACATGGCTCAAGGCAACCTGCCCCCTCCTCATTTTTTTTGACTCCTAGCAAATGACTGCCAGATTGGGGTGCTTGCAGAAAAACGCTGTAGCATGCCTTTAAAAGAAGGCATGCAGGGCTACAGGAAGTTCTTCTTCATGGGCAGTTGGTATGGAATATATGCAGCTTCTGTTTTAGCTGATAAAAAGGAGCAGAACGAGTCTTCTACAGAGATACTGCAGAGGCTCCTGAATAGCAGAAGCTGTTAGGCTGTGACTGCATTGCAGGCTCCTCTGTTTCTCCAGCACTTGGTGTCTTGCAGTGACAGAGCTTGTATGCTCAAATCATATTGAACATTCAGGCGAGGTTTTAGCTCCCACCCTTTTTAGAGGACAAGACACCCACAGCCTTGGCCGAGTGATTCTGGGAGGTGAAATTTTTTTAAAAGTGATTTTTCTGAGCTGTGAAAATGCTGCGTGCCCAGCCAAACCTCACTCTGCTGTTTCTTGGCACTCTTTATGTGTGAAGCAACAACTAGGGTTATGGCAGGATGGCCCTGGCAAGTCTGGCACATGCTTTCAGACACCTTATTTTAGAGCAGCCATCTGTAAGCAAACTCTGCAGTTGCCTTCCTGTGAATGTACATTCTTATTTTCTTTAGGAAAAAATCTAAAAGCCTCGGAGAGCATTGGAAGAAAGGGATCCCGATCGAAGTCATCCCCATGGCCTATGTTCCGATCACCAGAGCTCTGACCACGAAGTTTGGGGGTGTCGCAGAGCTAAGAATGGCTGTCAATAAAGCTGTAAGTCTTCATTATCATGGTAGAGGAAGAACACTTTGCAGCTGATGAAAGTCCTCTTTTTCTTCTGCGGAGAGACATTGATAAGCTGGAAGAGATCAGTGTAGTAGCATGTCCTGTTCTTGTCACTTTTGTAGTGGGTCCCAACCTTGGGTCCCTCAGATTTTCTTGGATTAAAACTCTCAGAAGCTTTTGAGAACGGGCCACCGCTTCTCTCTCCTCCTTCAGCCTCCTCCCCCAGTCCCTCGCTTCGGATTCCCCCCAATATGAAGGTCTCTGGGGTAATCCCTTTCGCTTTCTATAATCTACTTCCTCGCGGGGAACTTTCACTTGTTCCCACAAACCTGTCCATGGGTCCTGTACCCATATTAGCTCCCAACCCCTCGGTATGTTGTCCCTTCCAGTATTTATATCTCCCAGACCCGCCTCTACCATAGGCTGTCCCCCTTCTTCCTTTCCCGCCAAAACGCTCTCTGTTTGGGTGGACATATTTAATCCCTTCATAGTGGATTCCAACTCTCTGGTGTCTAGACTTTGGTGTACCATCCGAGGCAGAGTCGGCGTTGGAGAAGTTTGTATTCCTCTATGGGCTTTAGGGAGAGATGGCACTCCAACGAGGGCCTCAGCCTCCTTTCCTCCTTTACTACACATATAAAGAAAACTGAGATTCTTAGAAAATTGTATTTAACATTTGATAGTATATTCTGAATGTAATAGTCTGAATTTCTGCTTAATTACTGTATACAGTATATGGATTCTTGCCCACACTGTTAATATCCTACTGTAAGATTTAAGTTCATATTTTGTATTTCTTCTCATTTATCAGCAAAATATATGTTGATAACTGTTTGTGGCTTTTCTAATATGCCAAATGTTTAAATGATAATTTTAGAAGGCTTGTGCCATAGTATATTTCCAAAACATTATCCATCAGATGCTTATCTCATGGATAAACAAATCTATTGGTTTATTAGGATAGGACCTGATCTGTATGAAAACCAGAAACTTGAAGGGTCATGGCAGCAAAGCTAATCTCTCTTCAGTATTTTCATGCATTAGGGAAAACAATACAATATCTTACATACTAGGTTTTTTTGGTTAATATCTGTCAATACTTCAGAGCTGACATGCTTGTATATAAAACATGCCCTTGCTTTTCATAACGGTGAACAACATTAATATTCAGAGGAAAAATTAGAAATGAATAATTAGGACACTGATATTTTAAAAAGTCATGTATGCTTGCGCATATGTTGATGGGACCTTGGTATGAATTTACCAACCACCTGCTTTTTAGTAATAATCATGATAATTTTAGAATTGCAGAGCTGGAAGGGACCCTGCTGATCATCCAGTCCAGCGCCTTTCAAGGAGGCGCAATGAGGAATCGAACTCCCAACCTCTGGCTAAATATCTAAACCATTGTGCAGTCCATCAGTTCTTGTATACTTAATATATAATCTTATTGAGTGGTTATTCCTGATCTTTCTATAACTTTGGTAAAGAATTTTCATGAAATGACTCCATATCCTCCAGTGCTTAATAAGTTTGGCACTAGCTGGGGATATGCCAGTGGGGTCTGTGTACTGCACACTTACCCTGTATGTTTCTATTGTGTGCACTGTGTCTTAAATCCTGAAGCTATTATCACATGTGAAGGACTCCCTTTATCCCAGTGTTCTGTGTATGTTTTGCAGAGCTTCACAGTTACACATTTCCAAGTAGCGCTTTACCTGGAACTAACTCCGTTATGGCATCAGTGACTGGCAGCACAACTTCCCCCCCAAGCAGTGCCTGGCCTTTTTTCTTCAGAGTCACTCTGGTCCCTTTCCCCCAGAAAACAAAATACAAGCTGCAAAGAGGGACACATAGCTCAGTTCAGCAGCTGCTAGTGCTGCCAGGGCCACCTGATGCATTCATGGCACAGCTTCTCAAAACTTGCACAAGAGCACTCTGTGCTATTGACTCTTGTCAGTTGGCTTCCTTCATGTATCTATCCCATCACAGATACAATGCATGAGTATATTTTCTCTTTCAGAAGGAATAAAGGTCAGTAGGAAGGGCTGCACTTCCTTTGGGGTTGGGAAGAGAGCCTGGGGAGCTTGTATGCAAAGAGAAGCAGGAGAGCCTTTCCGTGCAGCCAGCAGCAGTAGCCTTAATATTTGTTTATTTGTTTCATTGATTTATATACCATCCTTTTAGTGAGAGTACTACTCTGGGCGGTTTACAGACTAAAACTTAAAAACTCCACAAGACCCCATATGGCAATGCATAGCTAGAGGTATAGATATAAAATTCTCAGAACCTAAAATTAATGACTTGCTTGGGTAGACAGAACAACATACAGTGGAGTCTTGACTTACGAACGGCCCGAGTTACGAACATTTTGACTTACGAACCGCTCTCATAGGAAAATATTGACTTGACTTACGTACTTAGATTTGAGTTACGAACTGAAAAAGACCACGTGGGAGGCAGGGAAAGTGCAAAATTTGAACTTTCAGTTAACGGTTGGCCAGTGAAAAGGGTGCCTGTCTGCTTCCTCACTCCTCTCAGCGTTTAGAGAGTGGATTGGGAGACAGTCTTCGGACTGCCTGGTACTGTACTGCCTGGACTGTATTTTCCCTGCCTTCCCTGAACCTTTCTTGACCTAAGAAAAAAAGAAACAAAACATCCCCCTCTAGTGGTCGAAGGAGGAATAGCAGCTTCCCATTAGTTTCTATGGACGGAAAAGAGCAGATACGGATCAAATGGTTTTCAATGCATTCCTATGGGAAATGCAGATTTGACCTGCGAACTTTTTGACTTGAGAACCGCCTTCCAATACGGATTAAGTTCTCAAGTCAAGACCCCACTGTATTCCCCTTTCTTTCCAACAATTTCCCTAGCTCTAATGGTTTGTATGATGGGTTAGTTTTAAATCCCTTAGTTTTCTCTTGGATATCATTTTAATGAGCACATCTATGAAGGCTGGGAATGTCACTTCAGAATATATTCTTTAAATAATAACTTGCTGCTTGTTTCAGAGAATAGTGGTTATTACAGCTTTATGGTTATTACACATGAAGAATGGACAACCTAACACCTCCTTAATGTGTTCTCTCAACATTATATTTCCGTGCATGCTAGGGCCCAGTGGTGACGGACAATGGGAACTTCTTATTGGACTGGAAATTTGACAGAGTGCATGACTGGAATGAAGTAAATGTGGCAATCAAAATGACACCAGGTAGTTTTTGCCTTGTTTTCTCTTGCATTTTCTCTTGTTCGTTGCCAGCAACATTCCAACAGAATCAGACACTTATTTGGAGCCACAGGTTTGCCTTTTCTAACAGGCAAACTAATAGCTTTGAAATTATACAAGGTAGATTTCCATTCTCATTGTTTTCTGCACAAATGAGGATATGTTTAATATCTGGGTAGTACTTGAACAAAACTAAACCATTCGGATCTTTTTGTTCCTTTTGATTCATATATAGAAAGCGGGTGTTATACATATGAGTTCTGAAACAGGTTTCTTTACTGTGGGGGGTGGAAGGAACATAATAAGCATGCAAATGTCAAAGGATCCAATAGGTGGCAGGATTGATTTATTATTTCCTTCAAAGCAACTTTTGCCACAGCAATGCATCAACTGGAAAGTTTCATTTATCTTTTTTCTTAGCGGCATGTGGTTCTGGCTGAATGTGGACATTGGCTCCACACTAGAAGGATACAGATATGTGTTGAGCTGCCTGGGTAATTCTGGTAGTTGTACTCCAAAAATACAAAGCTCCACACTTTTACTCTGTGCAATGTGACCTAGATACCATACTAGAAATATTAGTGCTAATTAAGCATGATTTGGTGACTTCTTCTTGTTGCAGGGGTTGTGGAAACTGGTCTCTTCCTCAACATGGCAGAGCGAGTGTACTTTGGCATGGAAGATGGCTCTGTCAGTGTACGTGAAAAGCCAGTCCACTGACTGCTGTTTAGCCCCTGCACATCCACTCTGCCTTCTGCCTCTTGCATATAGTTTATTATCATGGTGCCAATCTGACGTCTTGCCTTAAAGCGTGACTATCCGGATCTCCGTGTATGAAGTGGAAGGTCCAGCAGATTTCACAAATACTGAAAATGAATGTCGTCTTAAAATCAATTTTTTTTTACTTTTTCATGTAATTTTTTTAAAGTGATTGGTCACTTTGAGCATTTTAAACTTTTTTCGCTTAGTTTTTATACAAAATGTTTACCAAAAAGGATATTTTATATGATACTTGAACCATCTGGCTGCTTGAAGTGTATCTGGAGGAGGAAGACAGTCATGCAGCTTGTGGGATTTATGTTTAAACTGCCACAAGATGATGCATTTATGTGACAGAGCAGTAACCAGTTGGTACTCACAAATGCCTTACTGGAATCTTTTTGGTTCTATAATTTATGCCTTTTAATGATTTATACCATGACTGATTTTAATAACAGAAAATGTCTAGTTATTTCCTTCTTAGAGCAGCTGGTAGTTTTGCAGTTGATCACCATGGGGTGAGTGGAATTTTAACTCCTGCTTAAAACTGGTTACCGTATTTTTTGCTCCATAAGATGCGCCTGACCTTAAGACGCACCTAATTTTTGGAGGAGAAAGACAGGGAAAATATATTCTGAAACAAATAATGTAATAAAATATTTAATAAACTAACAGAATAACATTTGAACCATGTAATGTGAACAGCAGTCAATAGTGGCATTAAGAACCATTACCACTGTCATTAACAAATAGAGAGACTTAAAGGTTTGTGTACTCTAGTTTATGTACCATAAATTTGTGTACCATAAATTTAAGTCAAGTACATATAGACCATTATCAGCCAGTGATAAGACCTATACCACACTACCTATATTTTACATTTCCTTTCATCCACCTCCTCTCCATGCTTATAGAAATGTCTCAGTGACAGATGTGATTGTTGTGCGACTCTGCTCAGCTACAGCTCAAGCCTATATTAAGTTAAAATGGTTTGTCTGATTTGGCACTGCATTGAGAGGTCCCTTTTAGTTGTGTGGAGGATAAATAGTGGAATTAAACTATTTAACAGCTAGTTTTCCTTATTTACTTCGAATCCAAATTTCCCATAGGAATGCATTGAAAATTAATTAGTGCATTCTTATGGGGGGGGGAAGGTCAGAAACTTGAAAAAAATTAAAAGAAAGTCACCAGGTACTGTAGACTGAGCCCGGCTCCTCAGTGCCTTGGTAGCCCCCCCCCCGAACAGCCGAAAAAGAGCACCAAACAGCTCAAAGCTGGCAACCATTTTGTGCTTTTCTCTGCTCTTTCCCCCAGCATGGTGGTGGGAGGCTTCTGGGTGGTGGTGGCTGAACCCTTTTTTAAAAGTATTTGCTCCATAAGACGCACATACTTTCTCCCCCACTTTTTGTGGGGGGAAATTGCGTCTTATGGAGCAAAAAATACGGTAACTGTCATGTACAGCTCTGTTGCTGTTTCCACATGACACTATTCATGTCTGAAAGGAGGGGGTTTCATGCATGAGGCTGGCAGTATGCATGTATTGTAGAGCACTGTTGCTGGTCCTTCCCAACACTGACATGAGATGTACCATGAGCCAACCTCATGTTCACGAGCCACAGTTCCAGATCTTCCCCACGTGGCATGGAAGATGGCTTGCCATTCTGTTCTCCAAGCTGTAGTTGATGACATGAGTTGATCAGATGTTTGATACATAGAAGAACTGTTCCAGCCTTTTATTTAGGGGCCTTTCCAAATGTGGGAAGGAGTTTAAGTTTGAGTATATTGCACAATCATTGCCATCAAGCCACCTGAACTGGTTAACACAGCTTGGAGCCAAAGTGGCCGGTTCCTTGCGTGAGGACAATTTACATTATGTTTGCCAGACTCCGATTGCATATGTACATCAGCATAAGTGCAGCAGCATAGGCTACACTGGCAAATTGCCACTGGTTAAGGAGTCACCGCTAGCATTCCTCACGGTATGCCTGGTCTCTCCATTGGCACATGAGGAGCATTACCGCTATGATTTATGCTATTCCACTTACCTCAGTCTATATAAGCAAGAGGATTCTGCCCATTATGACTGGCTCTCTGGATGATTCTACTAATGTAGCAGGAGCAGGGCACTTTTTAAATATGCCATATTCCATTTCAAAGTGCTTTGCATGGTACTGTATGTCAAACTATGACACATCATTTGTGTTTTAGGCACTGCAATAAAAGCTGTAATGCCATCTGTTTGTATATTTGTTGTATGTTTAAATGCCTTCCTAGCTAAGTAAAAAAAGAAAAGCATTGGTGGATCAACCTGTAGTCTTTGTCATCTATGTAGTTTGTCTACTTTGGGTAGTTCACAACTGGGATGTTGGAAAATCTTTGAATCCAATTCCAAGTCTTTGGTACCAAGGTCTGAATCCCAGGCCCCAAGTCTGAGTCACTACTAAAAACCAGAGGAAAGGGAAGGATGGGTGGGTTCCGAGTCTGGTCTGAGTCACTGAAAAAAAACACACACACAAAAACTGAGTCACATGCGAATCGAGTTGCCGATGTTATTTAAGTCTAAATTGACAGTGAGTCACACAACTCAAGTCCCCATCCCTGGTTCATGGGTGCCATCAAGGAAGTGGGCATGTGTACTTGTTTGGCCCCAAAGTCTGATATCCACAAGTCTGATATCCAGCCATAATAATGAGCTACAACCTCAGGTAGACCACTCCTCTTTGAGCTTTCTTTTTACCAACTGTGGTACAGTCTTATCACACATTTAATAATGGCTTTCTTTCTTTCCAGTATGTGTGAAGTGATCTATGTGCTATTATTGTCTTTTTATGTAAAAGAAGAAGAAAAGAGAAAATAAATATTACAGACAGGCACTGTAACGTCAAAACAGCATCTGAAGATGTGTGGTTTTCATTTCAGCAGAGTTTGGATCCACAAAAAATCTGGTATTAGCTGCATATGATACCCTTCAAGAAGCTAAAGATGCTCCATCTTGTTTCTCCTTAATGAGTAGGTTTGAATGCCTGGAAACTTTTAATCAAAAAGATCTTTTTGTAAGAGATACTGTACTTATTTCACATTCTGAGTTTTAAATTTTTTTTAATTAGGACTGCAAAGCCCAGTGCTGACTCTACTGCAAAACTGCAGTTTGTGCTAACCAGTATCCTGTCGCTTGTGCCAGCTAAGAGCCATTGAATCAGTTGCTGAATGATGAGCCAACACCTAAGTGAGTCAGTGGGTTGGGGATAGCTATAGCATGATGACCATTAAGAAATGGAGTAAAACCTACAGTTGCATGAAGAGGAACAAGTCCAAATTTCTTGGTTTCAAAAAACTGATTGAGGTTGGATTTTATCTTGAATGTAGTAAGAAATGTGAGGCGTAACAAGCTGTTCAAATCCTGTTTTAGTGGCTTCACTCTTCTTGTGGCACTTAGGCCTTGTAAGACTGATGAAGTCATCAGCTGTGGTGATTTTTCAGCAATAAAAGAACTTCTGACTTCTTCCCCAAGGTCCCAATGAATCCTTTTCACTATTATGAAGCTTTTGGGGCCTGTGGGATGGGGGAAGTATTTAATTATGGAAAATTGCCACCACCTGTAAAGTTATCCCACCAGTAGTAATTAGACTTTAACATTATCTCTCCTGTCCTGGGGCACCCACAGGCTTCCTGGTCATGCTGGGGATTCCTTGATTTCCTTGGTTCCTTCAGGGAAGAAATTGAAAATGATTTATTTCTGGAAAATCTCTGGCTGATCACGTTGTCAGCCTTATGAAGCATAACTTATAGGAGCAGGATAAATTGAGGATGATCAGGTGGCTGGAAACCAAGCCTTATGAGGAAAGGCTGAAAGAATTGGGCATGTTTAGCCTTGAGAAAAGAAGACTGAGGGGAGATATGATAGCACTTTTCAAATATTTGAAAGGCTGTCATACAGAGGAGGGGCAAGATCTGTTCTCGATGGAGGTCGAGTCGTCAAAAGATGATGACTCACGAAGCACGACGTTGCCCCCATAAACCAATGAATAATGGGTTTATTGATTTGTGGGGGTTACTAAAACACACAACACCGCCCCTGTCCCCCTGCTGCCACCCCCAATGCCGCACTGCCCCCTCCATCCCACCCCCCCTGCCAACACACACCCCACCATAATCGTTGCTGCTGCCGCCCAGGGCTCCATCAGGCCTCCGCGGCCATCCTGTAGAAAGGGAAACTGGCTGCCCTTCGCAAAGATGGCGGCTGTGCTTCATTTAGTGTAAGGAAGTTGCAGCCGTCATCTATGCAAGTATGGAGAGGTAGGAGGTGGGGATAGACTGTGGGGTGTGGCTGGCTGTGGGTGTGGCTGCTTGCCTATCGGCCCACCAATCATCCCCCTCTTTGTATGGGGGATGAACAAATATGGGGAAATATTCATCCTTCGTATTCGTAGGGGTTACTGGAACCCACAAATATGAAGGGACTAATAGTTAACAAGCTATTTTAGATGAATATCGCAATCCATTTTTAAAATCCGTCCCCATGTCTAGTTCTCGATCATCCCAGAGTGCAAGACACACAACAATGGCTTCAATGGTTGAATACCAGGAAAAACTTACTAACTTAGAGCAGTGCAACAGTGGAACCAGTTACCTCGGGAATTGGTGAGTGCTCCAACTGGAGGCATTCAGGAAAAACCTAGATAATCACCTGGCAGATATGCTTTGATTGTATTCCTGGATTGAGCAGGGGGTTGGACTTGATGGCCTCGTAGGCCCCTTCCAACATCAGTTTTCTGTGATTCAACTGACCTGTACCTTCTCTGAAGGAACATTTTTGTTTGCATCTGCAGTACTATCAATATTTGCTTTGGAGCAAACCCAGTTCAGTATGACGGAAGATTTGCCTCTTGCTCCTCTGCTTCCAGAGGTGTATGTCATCATAGCCACTCTGATCTTGAATCTCTGTATCCAAGGTCAGTGTGCTATAGCCACTTCTAACGGCAAATGTGACCTTTAAAAAACCTTTGGGGAAAAAAATCTCCCTTGAAACAGTGAAATTACCCTTGCAGTTTTTCTGGCCCACATATGGGGTAGACAATTTTGAGGGACCATTAATGCACAGCTGCATTGTAACAGACAAACAGAAATCTATAGCAGACCCAAATGAAGATTTTGTCAAAAGCAACCCATTACATAGGAGAAATAAAAGGGGGTGGTCCCTCCCAAACATATTTGTTATTTTAAAGTGCAGAGGCTGATGCACTGTGCTGTAATGGTCCTTATCTATGTACCCAAGTTACGATAATGCACCACTGTGGAGTTTTGTCATGCTGCCAAGAACTTTCTCGTGGATGTGCTTGACCAGTTAGTAGTCCTGTTTTACAAGTGAGGGACACTGGCAGAGAGCTACGCTACTAGCTTATCCATAGCAAAGATTTGCTTTCATTGCTTTGCTCTGTAAGTTAGAAATCCTTGGAGGTCTGTTACAGCCTGCAGAGATTCATACAGTAGCTGCATTCTGAATTATTTTTCTGAACCTTGAAACTACTTCAAAAGACCACAGGAGGGAGCTCTAAACTAGTGTAGTTTTTAGAAATAACAGCAAATACCACAACAATTTAGTGATGGAGAATGGAGAAGCTTCAAT